CGTGTTCTACCACGTCGTCCAAATCGAATCGATTAATCTTTAAATTAAAATCGGTTCAAGCCCAGGGAATAAATGGAAACTTCTGAATACAACTATTATGCAAAAGCTGTCCAAGTAATTTTGCCGTAGCCTCCGCTCACTTTGCTGAATAGGCTCATCATGGAATAAGCCGATTTGATCGTTCATTTAAAAAATTTTGCAATGGTCCAAGGCATAAAAATTCGCCTTCAAATTCTTAAAATTTTTTCAATCATCACACATAGGTGGCTGCAATTGAAAACAGCCAAAACTTTCTCGTCTCAGAATTTAGCGCAGAATCGTCACGGGCTAATCATGTTATGTTTTGGAAATCACAATAAAAACGTTAAGCAGGGTTGAAGTCGGTGTATAGCTGCTTCTCCATGACATCAGTATTTTTCATACAGAGCTTTGAATAATCCACCAGTGCAAATGCCACGATTTTACCATCAATATTTGTCATCCAGCCATTATACCATTCAAGTTTTAAGATTTTTTGAAGCAAAATCAAAAAGAAAAGGTCAAATTCCTTGATCAAAGTAGGTAGCTGCATGTACAGGAAGTCAGCGTGCATATGCATCCTTGCGTGCAGGATGAAAATGAATAAATACAGTGAAACATACTTCCTTAATGAGAGTTTTTGAACTTATTCGTTGGAAAGCAGCATGCAACTCAGTCGCAAGCAAAAATTTTGGTTAGTCTTAGTTAAAACCAAAACCCCCTCCATCTCCGCTCTCTGTGTGAGGACGCAGCTAGTATGGTATCAAGCGCAAATAGCAACTAATCGCTGGCAAAACTTTCGATGATTCCGTTACTTACAAGAAATCTGATGGCGGTTTTGACTCCCTGACATACACTCGTATGAGTTCACTAACGAAATAAATGAATGAACGAAATACAGACTGGTTGTTTGTCCCCACCCCTCTGCATGGCAGCGGCAATGGCACCTTATTACGTCTTAATATCGAAGCACTTCAAAAAATTTGTCATGATGTTGAGATAACCCACTAATTTTCCGGAACAGAGGACACGGCTACCGACATTTCCCGGAACAGTAGGAATGGTGATCCAATGTAATTGGCGTTACTGGAATATACTCGCAGGCAAAACGTGTCAGTATCAGGATCTTCTGTATTAAATTGTGCTTGCACTTATGTTACATTGCATCTCCAAACCTATTTTCTCCTGAGATCTCGGTAATTCTCTGAAACATGCATGCGCCACATCTCTCCGGGCTGCGTGGATTTTACAAATTTAGAAAAGCCGTGCCCTTTCCAGGGGAATGTTGTTGTGCAGGTTCCAATAAGTCGGTGTAATTCCGTTACATCGAATTTAGTCTTGTCATTAAACTTGCGCAATGGCTTGGTCATCGTAATGGCAACTTGCTATGTAGTTTTCCCATCTAATTATGCCTCGGCTTCGATTGTTCGCTGCGCCTTTCCAGCTGTAATACTGCTACCTCATTACATCATCAGCACTAATCACTCTGTTTCTCTTCGGGACATCTCGGTAACGAATGCCTCACTTAGAAACGAAATTATAATGCAATCTCATTGAATAGCTCGACACTTACGCAACCTCAATGAATGGACTCGATAAGCAAATAGTCCAGAAAATTTCGGTAGATGGTGTTGGACAGGAAGCCAATAAAAATAAATGGCAACGCGCACCAGACTAGCCGGTGCGATCATGCGTTCTGTGCAATTCAGCCGATCGAACGATTGCCTGTTAATGATTTTCACTGCTTTGTTTTTTAGTCTATGCAAAAATAGTTTAAACATTGGAAAACAGTTAAAAATTTCGCGCACCAGCGCATGAAAGCTGAATTCGAAACCATGAAGGATGAATTTCTTTCCGTGATTCCCGAGTTAATAGTTTATCCGCCAAAATTTTCACGAGGCCGTAGGGGGTAACCGAGAGCGCGAGAACGCTGAATTTGAATGAGCAAGGTTGAGCGTGGGCAGGGAGTCATAATTCTTAAATTTCAACCTCCTAGACTCCGTGGTTCCCGAGATATTAACTTACCCGTGAAAAACTTTCACGAGGCCGTACGTATTACCCACGGGTAAGGGAAGGCTGAATTCGAATGGGCAAGGTTGAGCATGGGCAGTGGGTCATTACTCTAAAATTTCAGCCTCCTAGACTCCGAAGCTTCCGAGATATTAACTTACCCGTGACTTACCCGTGAAAGACTTTCACGGGGCCGTACGTATTACCCGCGTGTAAGGGAAGGCTGAATTCGAATA